GTTGGCTGGGACATGTGTTACGCATGTCACCAGGTAGGTTACCACGGCGAGCGATGTTCGCCGAAGCCGATACCGAGTGGAAAAAAGCCAAGGGTAGTCAAGACCTGGCACGAGGGTATGAAAACCCTAACCAGGAAACTGGGTCACATAGGTCCTGTTAGGCTCCATGGCTGGGGACCTATTAGGCTCATTTTATTTGGCAAAACCAGTGCAAGTCCACGCGCAGTTGGAAGAATCGGCGGAATTTCGGCTTATTTTTAGTGTCCCCTAAGGCTAGCACCAAACCTAATCAACTATGCCGTAGACCGGGTAGTGTCGTTCTCTTACTGATTCTTGAGGACACCAAACCAGTCGCGAAACTTGGATCAGTAACCTCGAATGTACCGACGGCATTCTCATTTTAGCAGATGATCCTTGTGGTTAACAGCCACTATATGATGTAAAGACATGACGGTCGATCTGGAGATAACTCTATCAACAAACGAAGTTCTTCACAATATCCCCTGACCCGTCAAGCCCCATCCATGTTTATGAAGAAACAGAACAAGCGTGTCACTTCAATTACCTAGAATCTAACATCCAGCCTAACTGCCAAGGCGGAGATGAAGAAGAGCTTCATGTCGTCTGTGTAAAGAGGGTATTTCCACAGCTTCGCAAGCCTTGATGGTTGCACAAAACTGAACGTTCATCGAGCCACCGTTTGGCCCTTCCTTATATTTATGAAACGTTGCCACACAGTAAGTGAAACAAAAAGTACTGGAAAATCTCGACCACTAATGCCTCCAAAATGCAGCTGAAATTAAGTTGTCAGCTTTTTAAACTTCACTCTTCGTCAACATTGCTAGGATATTTAGAAACTCAGTGTAACTCCTCAGAAATCCTTGTTTCTCCATTGATGTCGTCCTGTTATGCCGTCTTTTCGGTCGGAGGCAGAAATTGCAAGTAAGCATACGCAAACATCTTGATCGCATTGGAAGTATCACTTTGTCCAGTTAGGTTGAAGCAAATTTTTCGTCTCCAGTTACTTGTGAAACTCATGAATTTTTCGGTTTTCACATAACAGGACAACAGACAAGGTTACTACATTTACTGCAGAAATTCGGTCTGGTCTGGCTGGTTACACTGGGCTACATTTGATATGATGTGGTGTTTGGTGATAGCAAAGCCATCCATCACTTCGATCTTTATTAATTAATGAGAGTCGATCAAAACGTTTCAAAAGGTGTAGCTTCTCCATATGGTTAGTCTAAAAATTCTTTTTGGTATCCATTTCAATCCCAACGAAGTGCCTGTTCTGACGGAATGCTTACTGCCTTTCTGTTTTCAGCTCAAGTAGTCCATTCTAGCTGTTCGTCTACGCATCCATCTGTTAATTCATCCATCCGTCTATATACCTATACATTCATCAATTTCTCTTTTTTAGTTTCCCTCTCTGGAGAAGCTTACTCACCCTTCTGTCCTCTCATTGAGATCTAGATGATGTGGATTTAATCATGTATTCGTTCATTACCAAACTTCTTGTACGGTGATTTGTTTGACACCTTTTGGATCGAAACATGTGTGAAGTATAGTATAATATCTTTCAATCTTAGGTGTACATTTACCTGTCGTACCCACTGAGGTTCCCCTCCTGCTGCGTACGAAATATGCACTATTCATGTAGATGTACGTCACAAGAAACAGTCGAATATCTTGAGTACCATGCACGTGAAAAAGATTATTAGTTGGAGACAGCTGATCAAAAAGAAGCCCACTTTTAACCAACCTGTTTTCTTCCTCTTCTTTCAGATTGTCACGTAGCACTCAACAACTTGGTTCAATTTTTATATCCGTCGTTAAAACGATAAGAAATTTCACTATATGAATGGAAAATTACAGAACGCCTTAACACCAATTTAATGATAGTGCCGTGAAACTTTTGTTGCGTGAATTGGTGCGACATACGCGAATCACAAAATTTTCATTGGATTAGATAAATCTGCTATCTCTGATCCAAGAAGTGCATAGGCCCATCTCTTCGGGCAAAAGTAGAGCTGTTCTAGCCGAAGTTAGAATATTCTGTTAGATGAACACACCGGTGGCGTATACTTATTGATCGTTTCTCGCTTATCGTGCTCTTATGCATGTTTGGACTGATAGATAAAAGATATCTCTTTCTCCAATATTTCGTTTTCGGCTTCGTACTGCTTGAACTTTAGAATTTTGATTGTCTAGTGCATTACTAAGCCTGACACAATGACTGTTTTCTATTGCGCCGAGGGTTGTCGGTTTTTCGGATGTCTCTCCTTGCTACTGTTTGCACCTGTCGGATTGAGACCCGATTCCTGTTCCTTTCCCTTAGGTTATGAATGTTTTGAAGTCCAAATCGCTTCACGCTCTCCTTGATTGTGTTATTTTTTTAACTGTTTCAATCATCTGCTGAGTTGCCGAAAGGGTTCGTCAGTATGCAGCAACCGAAACCCCGGTATTATATACGATCGACTGGTGGTTGAATTCCACCAAAACTGATATATCTTTGTTATGGATCAAGTCGGTTCGGCAGCTTCACTTTCTAATCCGTTCCGCGCAAATCAGTTAGGACGTAGTTGACTAATTAAACCAGTCACTTGACCGCACGCGTGTGCCTAGGAGGAGAGATTTGAATCTTCTTTAGACAAGTTCTAATTTGCTTCTGTTTCTATTCTTTAGATTCTGGGATCCGAATAAACAAAAATCTTAACTATAATGCTCATGGCGAGGCTGGTGCGAAAATTTAATGCAGAACCTATGATCAGTAAAACATGTCGAGCTGCCGCTGATGGCCGACATCTTCGTGCCACATTCGGTGTGCCTCTGAATGACGTTCTAATTCGCGATGGCACCAATGTACCGTTGATTGTTTTGGATGTGTTTCATTTCCTTGTGAATTGCGATGCGCTCAAATGCAAAGGTCTATTTCGTGTAAACGGAAATTCCCGTACGGTGGAAACGTTACGCTCCCTAATTGACGAGAATGGACCGAATTGGCGTATTTCACAATTTGCCGCGGAACCCAATGCAGCAGAGCGATCCGTTGACCCATATTCTGTGGCCAGTCTTTTGAAGCTGTATCTTCGCGAGCTTCCCGGTGGATTGGTGCCAACAGAAATCACCAGCTTGTTGGTAGAAGTACGTTCAATAATGCACTGCACTGCTATGCTTGTTTCTTTTTTATTACACAATGGGTTGAACAGTTAAAGGAGAAATCCCATACAGAAGAGGAGGCATACTGTAAAAGGCAGAGTAGGGGAACATTCACATAAAATCCAGTTTATTGATTCTGCATTTAACGAGTGTATGTCAGTTGGGAGAAAGGCAGAAGGTGAGCGGGGTGTTCTGCAACTTGACAGTTCCGGTACAGAAGGAGATTTGAACAGAAAAGTACGATATTTGGGAACCGTAATCTGATAAGGATGACTAGATGCTTGTGTACGGGATGGGCGGGCCAAAGTTACAGAAAGAGGAACTACCAAGGTGAACTCCGAAGAACAAAAACCAATGTAGTAACGGTAGTGCCGTGACAACGAAGCACCTGTTCGATGTTAGGCTAGTGACTACAAATTCGATGTTAGAGTAGGATCATCAACATCAACATCACTGTACAGTGTAATACAATGAAGCGAACTTCACTGATCGCTACCAAACTCATGATGTATGCATGCAAAGTGATAATGTGTAAGGAGAACAGGGATTGGGCCTATTCTTAGGGAGGGGAAAAGAAAGCGGACCTATATGGTCAACACAGCCCAACTGTGCATACATACTAGTTCAAGCATTCTGAACTGATAAGAAGTGACAGCATGATAGCCGTTGCTGTCGGTTCGCAGCCATGATCTTCAGTGACACCTACTCTACCTAATCGCTCTGTGCATTTCTTCATGTCTCGTCTCCACGTCCTGTGCTGAGAAGAATAATCGATCAGCCGGATAGCCTTTCGTTGGACACGATGAAGAAGGGAAAGAGAGGATGAAGCCCTACTCCACTCGTGACTGCAGTATTCAAGAGCAGGGTGGATTTTAGCTTTTTACAGTGAAATAAGATAGGCTGGCGCGAAATAAAAAGAATCAACCTTGCGTGCAACAGGAGGAGTAAGTTGACCTATGAACCGGGACTAGCATTGGCACTCAAGAAGGAGAACAGAGTTTGCCAAATGCAGTTCGGTGCAATCAAAAAATGTTTAAGAATGTATGGTGTTTTAGAGAAATTGAATAAAGGTTTTAGAAGCATTGAATGAAACATGGACATTGCATAAAGAGACGTGTTCAAGATCGGAGTCCAGTGACAGATTAACTGCACTACGGTCACGATCGATTTTGGTTTGGGCATGGATAGAAGTGCGGTAGGAGAGGGGGCAGTCGAGGGTGGCGTGATAGGCAAAAGAATGGGTTGTGTTGGTTTTAAAAAAGAGGTTATTGATAAATAGATTAAAGAGGCTGGGCGCAAGTACTGCACCTTGGAGAACGCCAGCTTTCACAGGGACGGGCTGAGATAGAACCTCATCCACTCGGACGGAGATCGTTCGCTTACTGAGGAAACTTGATATCTATGCTACGAGAATTAGAGCGAAACCGAATGCGGGCAATTTCGCCAGTGGACCTTCGTGTCAAACTCGGTCGAAGGCTTTTGAGACATCGTGTGATTCTCCGTGGTTATCGAACGCAGCCGACCACGACTGAAACAAGAGCCAACAAGTCGCCGATGGAACGATGCTGTCAGCAACCATCCTTGTGGTCTCTCAGTAGTCCTTCACGTTCGACGTTCGTGCTTAGTTGATCGGAGATAGTGATCTGAATTACTTTCGAAAGAATAAATTTGAGGGAAGCGGGTCGGTAATTGTTGGCATCAGAAAGCATTTGGGAATGAGCAATTTGGAGGAAAAAAACCCGAAAAATACGATGTGGAACAGAAGCCAACTGGGTAGCACATATTTTTGAAGACCATAGGTGAAATACCGTCCGGACCGTGTGGTTTGTTTGCGTTTAGAGAGCGCAATGTTTGACGGATTTTCCTAGTCCTAAGAAAAGGACGAAGGGGATTACCAGTGAAACAAAAAGCAGGTGAAGGAGCAGGATAATCGGGTAAGGTGAAATTAGTGGCAAACTGGGAAACAAGAACCTCAGATTTATCGTATGGTTGACATACAAGATCACCAAAGGATTTACAGATAGCTGAAAAGTTGGAAGAGCAGCAATTACGGAAAATTGCTTTGGTAAAGGACCAAAATTTTCGTTACCGTTGGTGGACGAGACCAAGATTGCGGCTGTACAGCGAAGAGTTCTTTCGTTCACTGCATGGTTGTCGAGCATCTATCTGTTCCTAGCTTGCACAAAGCGATGGTGCGAGTAGGGAGTGAGCGAGTGCCAGAAGGCTGAGCGTTTTAGGCATACAGCACGATCATATGCGTGGTTCAACCACTCGGGGGGATTTGGACTTGCCGGGCTTNTTGCGGAATAAAAAGATGCACACCTCGAAGAACAGTGTGGGTGAAGTTGGAAACGTTAGAAAAGAAATAACAATCATTCCAGGGTTAAGAATCTAGGAAATTACGGAAACTGTCCCAGTTGACTGAATTGTAACGCCAGAATGTGTGTCTCGAAGTGTGTGATGGCTCGGGGCTCGAAAACCTAATGGAACAATAAACAATACAGTGATCCGATGAGCCAAGAGGAAGGAGGGTACCAATATCTGAGAAGAAAGAAGGGATCGAAGTGAGAATTAGGTCGGTGGTATCGCCAGCTCGATCAGGGGCACGTGTGGAGAGGTCAACTAGTTGGCTCAGTTTGTTCACTAAAGCGAAATGTTCGACCTCGCGCCCCAAAGGAGAGGTAGCAGAGGTAAGTGTCAACCAGTCCTGCTTGTGAACGTTAAAATCTCCGAAGATAGCAGCAAGTCAGTTGGTTCGGTTGCAAGCAAGAGTTCAATGTTCGAAGATAAAAATAGTCAGACGGGGGAGTTGACACTATTTGAGAAACGATATAAAATACAAAAGTAATGATTAAAAGAAAGGATCCGGAGCTTGAACCACATCAGCTGAAATTCACGTTTGGAAAATCTAAGAATTGGGCTTTCGGAAGCGACCGCTGATTGGTGAATAAAGGGGCGTATACCAGCTTTGGATAGAAAGGAGGAGGAATGGAAAGTGCACTAATGGACTTGAAGATGGCTGGTGTCTGACGAGAGGGAGATTTGCGTTTCGGTCAAAAAAAGGACGAGAAGAGGAAGAGTAGAGTAATTGTCATACAGAATCAATGTTACAGTTCAGTCCACGAATGTTGGTGAGGGTGATGAGTACATGTTTACAAATCAAGAGTGCATAGAACAAGCGAGAGCGTTCGTGTTTTCATGTTCATGTTATGTAAAAGAGTCCAGCAACCATGATCCTGAAACTTGGAGTGGCGGACCACGTCAGATCAGGTGTAGCAGTAGTAGTAGTTGTTGTTGTAGAGACATTTGATAGTCAAAGCTCGCCTGTTACTCTCTGTTTGTGAGTACACATGCAAGACAATGCACAGACACATTTCGATGAATGTTTATACGAGATGATTTTGCCAGACTTTAGAGCGTATTGGGCTGAGGGGGGGGGCGGGTAGAGGAACCGCAACGTGTTTATGTTGCATGCTGTGGGTGATGAGGATCTGCGTCACTGCTTTCGGTAAAGTTGACTCAAGAAGTTGTATTGTGGCCTAGAAGTTTCACAATTCGGTGGTTTACAGAGATTGAAGAAACACTGTTCTGGTCGCTCGTCACGTATGCGCATCCGGTATTCTTTTGTCCGAAGTAA